TCATAACCTTATTTTATTTTTTATTTATTAATTTTTGAAAGAGAGAAACATTAATTCGTGTTCCACTTATTCATGCATTCATTGGTTGATTCTTGTATGTGCCCTGACTGGGGATCGAACCTGCAACCTTTGCATATTGAGATGATGCTCTAACCAACTGAGCTACCTAGCCAAGGTTTATAACCTTAATTAAAAAAAAAAACTCATCTGAGGATATTTTTTTATTTATCTTCAGATAGTGGGAGGGAGGGAGAGAGAGGGAAAGAGAAAGAAACATCAACATGAGAGGGACACATCGACTGGTTGCCTCCCACACGACCCCGATCAGGGCCGGTGACAAACCGCAACCAATGTACATGCCCTTGACCAGAATTGAACCCATGACTCATTGGTCGGCAGGTCGACACTCTAACCACTGAGCCAAACCAGCCAGGGCCATAACCTTAATTTTATGGGGTGGGTATTGCAATTGGGAAACTGAGGCTCAATGTCCAGAGGAGTGACTTGCCCTTCAATCATGCAGCTGGTCAATGGCACAGAGACCTGCTACCCAGATCTGCCTGACTCCCTAGGCTTCTCCTTCTTGATGCAGAAGAGGGAAGCTGTGTGTGCACGCGTGTGCATGTGCAGGTAGGAGTGAGGTGAGCTAGGAATATGTCCCATCTCAGTGTTCACCGGATGTCACATCGATGCTGTGGAGGATGGAGCTTCTCTCCTGGGGCACACGCTGTCCTCTCCATCTCCTGGCCAACCCTCGTGTGCCCCACTCACTGTTCACAGGGGGGCTCAGCACAGTTTGTGAATGAATGAATGAGCAAGTGAGTGACACTTTCCCTTCTCTTTCCCCTCCTCATTTTCTCTCTCTGGTTCCCCCCTCCTGGTCTGTCTCCTTTCCCCACAGGCCTGCTCCAAGCCAAGCTCCACTTGCCCTCCATGGCAAGATTTGGCTGGAGAGAGGTAAAGGCTGAGCCACCTTCCAGAAAACAGAGTTATAGTACAATCCCTGGCTGGCTCCAAGGGCCCAGCGTCAGGAAGGTCTGCTTTGCTGGGGCTGAGGGCCCAGCCCGGCCAGCACTGGGGGACTGTTGGGGCAGGAACATGGCTGGGGCAGGAGGAGGGAGTCAACGGATTGAGCTGCGTCCCCCCGAGTTTACCCTCTGTGTGACTGTATTTGGAGACAGAACCTTGAAGAGGTACGGAAGGTTAACCTAGGTTCTCAGGTGGGTACCTAATCTGCCAGGATCGCTGGCTTCAGAAGAGAGAGCTCTCTCCAGGACACACACGGAGGAAATGCCACGTGAGCTGTGAGAAGGCGGCCGTCTGCAAGCCTAGAAGAGAGAACCCAACCATGCTGGCTTCTCCGACTTCAAGCTCCAGAACTGGGAGAAAATATACATCTGCTGTTTAAGCCACCCAGGCTGTGGTATTTTGTTACGGCAGCCTGAGTAGATTAATACAAGGGTGACTGGGGGTCCCTGGTCCCATGGCCCTTATAAATTCAGAGACAACCAAGGACCCAGGCCTGGATCAAGTAGGCTCCTGCCCCAGGCTGTCTTGGGATAAGAGCCCCTCTTCGGCTCTTATCCCTTTCTTGGCCTGAACTACAAGTGCTCGTAGCTTCCTCTTCCCATCATACTTCTCCCCCACAGTCTTATTTCTAAATCTGGTTGCTTACTCCCTGGCTGAGAAGGCTCCGATGTCTCCCCATTACCCACAAGATGAAGTCCAAGCAGGTTACCATAGATGACTGGGCATTGTGCTACCCAACATCATGCATGCATTCATTCATTCATTCATTCATTCATTCATGGAACAAGTAGTCATTCCCTAGACATTCTCAGTTTCCCCGAGGCTCTTGAGGAGGCAGCTCCTGCCTCTTTCCCCTGCTTCCTTTCTCACCTACTCCTTCGGTACCATGTACTTTAGCCACACGAAACAGGATACATTTTCACATCTGTGTGCTTCACACGCGCTCACCTACCTGCTTCTCAGAATGCTGAGACTGTCGAGTGGGCACAGGTTTGGACTCCCTTTTCTCTGCTGCTTCCTAGCTAGATGAATGTGGCCAAGTTAACCCTATGAATCTCAGTTTTCTAATCTGTAAAATGGGGTTAAACATAGACGATGTATCTCACACTGTACTTAATACATAGGATCCCCCAATAAAAGTTGGTTTCTCCCCTTCTTTGCGTGCTAAACTCCTATTCACCCTCCAAGACCAAACTCAAATGTCCTCTGCTTGGTAACATTGCCCTTGTTCCTTCCAAAGGGGTAAAGTCTGTCTTCCCTGTTTCTACCCTTCCTGCCAGCCCAGTGTGGCACTTACGAACCTCCGTTATAACACTGTTGTACTTAGGTGTTTTCCTGGCTCATATGAACAAAGTATGCATCCAGAAAACATTTGTTACATGAATCAAGGTACCGATCTGTGGGTTGGGAACCCTTAGCCTGCCCTGGTTCAAAGTCCGGAGTCTATTGGATGGCGTGAGAGTTATTAAGGACAGGAGGCCGAGGATGAAGCAGCAGAGGTGAGCAGTGTTGGCCCTCCGGGGGAGTGACTGTGGGGGAGGGGAAGGAGCTTCTGGGAGGTCACTCTGCAGCGGAGAGGAGGCAGGGTTCAGGGGGCAGGGCAATCTCAGTCTTGAAGGGTGGTTGGCAGTGGCGGGGGTGGGGGCTACTGTTCCCTCCCGTCAGTTAACTCCAGCAGTGGCTGGGCTTTGCTGTGGGTCCAGCTATTTGGGACGGAGGGAATTAAATGGGAAAAGAGTGAGAGGGGGGAAGGCTTTTCTGTAAAGAGGGAGGGAAGGTTTAGGGGAGAGGGGGTGGAGAAGGCATGATGAGGAGAAAGGTGAGGAGAGAGAAACCAGCAGAAGGGAAGTGAGGGAGGCGGGTGGGCAGTGTACGTGTGTGGAGAGAGGCTGGGGAAGGCTGGGGAGGGGTGGAAAGCTGGGAGAAGTGACATTGGAGGGGTTCTTAGGAGGGGGGCTTAAGATCAGGGGCTGCAAGGCCTGAAACCCGGAGAGAAGACTCCTTGGTGTCCATGCATGGGTATGGAGAGCCCCCTCCCTCCTGGTTCCTGGTTTGGTGGCAGTCCTTCCTCCCCTCTGCCCCCCCCCGTCCCTCCCAGCCTTGCAGGGCTGGCTGCTCTGCGCAGCAGCAGAGGTCCAAGTCAAGTTCTGGCTTCAATCTTCCTGGAGCAAAGATGAACTACGGCAAAGGCAGCAGAGGTTATCAGCTCCCCTAGACTCTGTCCACAGCCAGGCCGAAGGGGGCTGAAAGTGCAGTTTGGTAGCAGGAGGGGAGGCAGGAGCTATTCAAGGTCCTTGGGAGACTCACTACACCTCCCAGGGCAGCCCCTGCCACTGGGTCTCACGGCTCTGTCCACACAGAAGCAGCTGTTGTCCCTTCCAAAGGCTCTTCAGGGAAGTGGATGACGCCTGAAGGCTCCTCCCGTACTGTACCCCGTAGCAAGACTTGGATCGCCACCGGTGTGGCTCAGTGGTTGAGCGTTGACCCAAGCACCAAGAGGTCACCAGTTCGATTCCCGGTCAGGGCACATGCCCAGGTTGTGGGCTCCATCCCCATTGGAGGGCATGTAGGAGGCAGCCATTGGATGTTCTCTCATTGATGTTTCTCTCTCTCTCTCCCTCTCCTTTCCTCTCTCTCTAAAATCAATAAAGAAAAAAAAAAAGCTTGGATTGCCAGCAGCAGAAGCCGGGGTAGAAATCCCGGGGCCTGGGGTAGGATGACAGGGCCACTGTCCAGTTTTCTAGGGCTGAACTGGTAGCTCGGGGCTTATCTGGCTTCAAGGCCTCTTCTGGCCTCCCCCTGAGCTGCTCATGTCCCACCCACCTCTCCTTGCCTCTCAGGAAACTCCAGTGAGAACTTGGAACCAGTCAGGCATGCCACACACCCTCACCTTTGGCCTTAGACACAGGGGAAACCCCAACTCTCTGTCTTCCTGGCTGAGTGGCAGGAAAGGGATCACGGAGAACAGGTGTGTGGGACACACTGGGGACACGACATGGTTTGAGCAATGGTGTATGAAGTGGATGCCAGTGGAGACAGCTCAGCTGTGGCCAGGGTGTGGGAGGGAGCATGGCACAGGTAGTCTTCCCTAAGACACAGCCATCACCTGCCCACTCAGGTCCCCTCCTCTGTGCAGGTCTCCCTCTCTGAGGGGACAGTTCTGAATGCTTCAGAACCAACTGCTGTGCAAAGACAGACACTTTATTTTCTGTGATGGGAGCTACACAGGCACCCATGGGTATATGAGTGGCTCTCAGCCAGCCGGCAGGCTGGGACCTTGAGAACTTTGTTTAGCATTCTGCAGTCTCCGGGGGTGGGGCAGTGCCCAACCACAGGCTGGTGGGCTGGTCTCCACCCCCACCAGCCCAGGGCCATTTCAGTCCAGCTTGGTTTCTTGGGTTGGAATAATAATCCCTCAGGCCCAACTTTGGCCAAAGATAATGATGCTATGGCAAGGTCCATAGTGGGGAGGGGGCAGGTATTCGCTCCCCATTGAGCAAAAGTGGGCTTCTTCTCTGAGCCTCTCTTTCCACCTTCAGGCATGGTTTCCTTAGGACCCCAGGCCTGCTAGACAAACCGTCCCAGCTTCTGGAGGATTGGGTGGGGGTGGGGTAGGGTGGGAAAAACCAGCCAGCTTCTTCAGGCCTCTTAGAGTAGCTGCCTATTTGTATTTTTGACTCTCTGCTGCCCCCGTGCGGCTGTAGGGCTAGTTGACATTATGCCGCTGTAGGGGTGAGGTGGGGGTGGGGGTGCGGGTGCGTGCGTGCGTGCGTGCGTGCGTGTGTGTGTGTGTGTGTGTGTGTGTGTGTGTCAGACTGGAGCTGAGGCAGAACTAGAAAGAGCTGACCCTTGTGTCTGCTTTGGAAAACAGGGATCTAGCTGTCCCCGCGATAGGTGTGGGTTACACAAGCAACCCTAGGACAACATTGACACCAGCAGGACACTTGCTTACCAAAAATTAAAAGACAAGATGGAGCTTTGACACTCATTTACAAAGGAGGGGACTAGACATCAAGACCGTGAGGACAGCTGGGTGGCTCTGACCCCTTGCTAAGCTGCTCCAACAACCATGGCCACTTGGCCTGAAGAGTCCAGGGCAGGATTCAGCTTTGTCCTGGCAAAAGCTGCCCAAGAAGCCTTTAGGGAAGTGGGGAAAGGAACAGATATGGAGGGAGAGTCAGTCCATAGTCCATTCCTTCCTTGGTCCCGAATCCTTGCATCATCTGCTCCAAGGCCAGCCTCTGGCCAGGGTCCTGGGGCCGACCCAGCACCTGCTGTTTGCCGTGACACAGGGTCAAGGGCTCTAGCTCAGGCTGCTGTGCTGGTGGTGTCCTGGCTGATGGAGTCAGGCAACCTCAGAAGTTGTGTTCATGTCGGGGGTCCTCAGATGTGGGTGTGCTTCAGAATCACAGAGAGTGTGTTCAGATGCCCACCAAAGTCTGAGAAGAACAGCTGATCCTGTCTATTGGCCTCCATGGATGAGGAAACTGAGGCCCAGGGATGTCTAGATGAAGGTCACTGATGAAGGTCATAGTGGGTTCAAGGGTTTCGATTTAGTATCATTCTCCTTCAGTTTATACATTGGTCCTGCAGTGTGGTGACAGCCACTTGTTCAGGGGCCAGAGGGGGTTTCTGAGCAAGTCCCTTGGGCCATCTGGGAACATGGGCAGGGAGATCCCCCTTACGCCCTTTCTGTGTCCTGCAGCAGAACCTCCACCAGGCTGATGACCTGTGAGGCTGGCTGGGCTGTGTCATACTCCGCGAAGAGGTGGCACACATTCTCCTGGGAGTCGGTCTGGCTCTTAGCAACAAGCCCAAAGATCCTGGTGGGAGAGGGGCAGCCTGGGTGAGAGGGGGGACCCAGGGAGGCACCAGCTGGGAGGGAAACCCAGCCCACAGGGGTCCTCTCGCCCCTCCCCTAGCCAAGGGCCCCGGCCCCTCATTACAATGGGGGCTCTCCGAAAGGGGATATGTGTCTCTCCTGTCAGGCTGGGAGAGCCCTGAGTTCTGGGTTTTCATCATTCTGAAACTGGGCTTCCTGGGGACGGGACCTGTGTATCCCCATCAGAGTGGGGGGCAAGGATGTGTCTTGGCCACCGGACAGGAGTTCCCCTACAGATGAAGGCTCCCTGAGATTAGAGCTGTGCGTCCTGCCAGGCTGGAGGCCCCCTGAGGGCCAGGGCCTGTGCTGCTCCCATCCAAACCTCGGGCTCCTAAGGTCAGGACGGGGCCTCCCTCTTTCTCTAATTCCCTCCCCGTGTTGGGTCGGGGCTCTGCCTCATGGTGACTGACTGGGCAGACAGGAAGGCCTTACCAGGAGGGCTTGCAGTATTTCTGCCACCTGTGGGAGGAACATGGACAGTGGTGAGTGCGGAGGACTCCAGCCAAGCACAGGGAGAAGGGCCAGCTGCGTCCCCTCCCCCACCACATCCCGCCTTCCCCTCCTCCTGACCCCTGAGGTTCACAGGCTCTGTCTGGGATCCCAGTCCCAGGGCTAGACGGAAAGTCCAGCGGGCAGCTGGGCCCTGACAGCCTTCTTCATTTCGCCCAGCCTTGAACTCACTTCCGTTGCTCGGGGTCCATGCCACAGAAGCGGAGGGTGGTGAGGGGGTAATGGCGCCGGAAAAACACCCTGGAAGGACGCAGGAGAGAGGGGAGCTGGTAAGGGCCTGTCCCGGGTTCATGACTGCCTCCGGCATCTCCAGCTCCCTGTCCTCCAAGAAGCCTCCCTGTTATACCCTTTTCAGGACCAGGGAGGGAGGGACCTCCTCCCACCAAGTCCCAGTGTCAGCCAGAGTCTGGCTGGCAGATGTCCTATCAGTGGATGCAGACTTAATCAATACCCCATGAATGCTGGTTGATTCCTTCTCCCTCAGTTCCAGTGAAAGGGGACTTTGGCAGGAGGTCATTGGAGTGAGGCTCATTGAAGACAGAGAACTTGCCTGAAGTCACTCAGCATGTCACTGACCCCCTTGGGACCAGGACCTAGAACTGCCTTCATCACTGATCCGTAACCACCTTGGCCAGCCCTGCAGCCCCAGGGTAAGAGAAGTCCCTTACTTCCTCTGGACATCAGTCAGGGTGATGCCCTGCTCGGTGACTTTGAAGTGGACCACAGTGGGCGTGGGGAGGATGTCCCTCTCCAAGATGGTTGAGATGGCCTTCTGCACAGCGGGGGCTCCGGTCAGGGTCTCCACACTCACAGAACTCAGGTACAGGGCATGGCAGCCTGTGGGATGCAGATACTGCATTGGGGCCCTGCCAGGATCCATGGGATGGGCGGGGGTCGCCCAGGCCCCGTCCTTCCTCTGCCCGGAGCCCAGGGACAGGATGGCCTTTCTTCTTCAGAAATCCAGTAGGGCTCTTCTTTGAGCCACCAGGTAGACAGACAGAGACTATGTGGGTGACTGTAATTTGTGGCCAACCCCAGAGGACTTTGGGATCATCTGTTGCTTTGCGTTGCCCTGGGCCCTGGCCCTCCCGGTTGGTGGGGTGGGGGTGGGGATGGGGACAAGGGAGGGAACGTTGCCCTGTGTGTAGGTGCAGCCGAGCAAACCTTCCTTCTGTCCAGACCCAATGCTGGTGCTGCCGCTGCCCCCACCCACCCTAGGAGTCCGGGTTCATTGTTGAGAGAAGGGAGAGAAGATAAGAATGTGGAGAAGACTGTTGAGCTCAGGGCCACAGAGTAGGAGCTGTCACTCAGACAAGTGCTGATCTGTGACTGGCCTCTGGACGTGAGGAGGAGGGACCTTTCCCCTCTGAAAACCCCCAGGAGCCCCACAGAGGATTGCAGACCCAGAGACCACCTCCAGAGCAAGTAGTGTAGATCCAGAGAGACCCTAGCACAGTTGCATGTGCCCACGTGTGTGGAGGTTGGGGTGCAAGCCTCGCCAACCCCTCCTGTCCTGTCCCTTTCCCCTTGGCCCACTCCCTGCAGCCTCTCATCGCCGGGTTCACAGGGAGGAGGAGAAATGTGGCACCTTGTTAAAGATGAAGAAATAAAGCTGTGATGGGAAACACGTGTGGACATGCGTGTGCAGGGCTGGGAGGCGCCCTCTGGGGGCAGAGCCAAGCCCGGAGCCGCCCACACGCCAGCCACTCACCCGCAGATTTCTTCAGGCAGGAGGCCCGGCTGTCTGGAGAGGGGTCTGAGGCTCCGTCTCCACCTCCCAATTCTGAGCCAAAGTAAAGGAACAGGCCCGGAGGGGCCGGGCGGAGTGAATGGACCCCTCTCAGTTAAAAGGCCTCATTAATCCCTCTGAACATCTCCACCTCTGCCCACGCCTTCAGGAAGCAACTGGGCTGAGACACCAGGTGTGATTACTGTAATCAGGCAAACAGGGCCGCTTTGGGCCCCCGGCGCCCAGCTTGCAAGTCTTTGGACCCCTCCTTCCCCTCCTCACTCCTCCAGCTCCCTGGACAGCTGCAGTGACCTGGTCCTCAGAGGCTCCTGACCCCTCACTTCTTTCCAATCCACACCAACCCCAAGCCTTTCTTTGCTGAAAGTAGGGAGACCGTTGCCTTTGCTCTGCCAGGGGCTCCCCTCGTCTTTGCTTCCTCTCCCCGAAGCCCCCTCACGGCACCTCCTGCACCCGGAGATGACCCCCTTCCTCCGGGGCTGCACCTCGGCGGTAGGCTCTGGAGGGGCCTCCTGATCCAGGCTTGAGGTCTGCCTGAGCCTTTGGGTGAGTTACTTATCGCCTCCAACCCTGCTTTTCGCCTCTGTGAAATGGAGATAGCAGCTGCGTGCACTTCACAGGGCTGTGGTGCGGTATGGATGGATGAGAGCGTGCCCAATAAACGTGAGACCGGGAGAAAAGCACCGAACCTCTTCAAAGCGGCTGTTTTATGTTCCTTCATCCCTTCAAAGAAGTCTATTATTTATCAAACATCCACTCTGTGACCGGCACTGTGCTGAGAGCCTGGCCTGAGTTAGCTCATTTTATCCCCACACAGTCTGATAAGTAGGTATGACGACAGCTGGCTCCATTTCACAGATGAGGAAACTGAGGTTCAGAGAGACAAACATCCTCCAATTCTCACAGCTAGGAGGTGGAGAGGTTGACGGACTGTAGAGCATGCGCCTTTAATTGTGACCCTAAAATAATCTATAAATGAGGTGAGATGTGACCCCTAGGAGCCTTTCTAGTGAGAACAACCAGACTGGGTGCCCCGATGTTGCCTCCCTGGGGCCCAGACCCACCTTTCTGCGGGATGGTGAGTTTGCAGGGCAGGGCCAGGGCCATGATGGAATGCTGGCACACAAAGGCCGAGAGGCTCCCTGCAGGGAGACAGGCTGTGAGGAGACCCTCTCCGGACCACCTCCCGGCCCAGACGGCCCACCCGGGGGCCTGCAGGCTCACCAAAGTAGGGCTCCTCATCCGCTCCTTTGAGATGCACCCCTTTGGCAGAAGACTCAATGAGGAAGTGGCGGATGAAGTCACTGCTGTCCTCGCCTGGACAAAGAAAGAAGAAAGCGTGTATGCAGAGGAGATCCAGAGCCCAGTGGTAGCCACGCCTGACCTGCCTCCCCCGGGTCCACCAGAGGTTAACTGTCCATCCTGCAGCCTTTGGGACTGCAGGTAGGAACCTCATCTCCAGGGCCTCCCCCGGAGGGGCCAGTACGTCTGCCCCAAGGCTTCTGCATCCAGTAGTTCTCCCTTCAGCCCTTTCTCTTGGTCTCAAGAACCCGCAGGGATGGTTTCCCATGACTGTTTAGATCAAATCTCAACTCTTCCGCCTGGTTTCTCTCTCCCCCTACTCACCTCCTCCCGGGCAATATTATTCTCCACCAGATGGTCCTGAGGGAGCCAAGCCGGCCGGGAGGGGGACTGGTGCCTCTGCTCCGTCCCACCTGCCACACTTCCTCCTCTCCTGGGCTCCTCGGCAAGGCTTCCTTGACCACCACCCCAGGGGCCCTTTCTTATTTAGACCCAGAGGCAGGGGAAGGGAAATCCCCTTGGGTTTTTGTCCCTGGGCTTTCACTCTGTCATTCACTTGCTCTGGGGGGTCATCCACTAGACGTGGCACCTCAGTCACCTGACCTGCTTGTGGTAGGAGAGCTACAGTCATGGGCCTTAGGGAGGGGCTGTGGCCCGGGAACCTCATACTGTAATGGCTTGTTTTTATTTATTATTATTTTTTTTTATATCCTCACCCGAGGATACATTTTTCCATTTATCTTCAGATAGAGTGGGAGGAAGAGAGGGGGAGAGAGAGAGAGAGAGAAACATCGATGTGAGAGAAACACGTTGACTAGTTGCCTCCCGCATGACCCTGACCAGGGCCAGGGCCCGAACCGCAATCAAGGTACGTGCCCTTGACCGGAATGGAACCCGAGACGCTTCCGTCTGCGAGCCGATGCTCTAACTGCTGGGCCAAAGTGGCCGGGGCTAATGGCTTGTTTTTAATCTCTTTCCCCAGTGAGGTGCCCTGGTGCCTTCCACAGTGCCTGGGGCAGGGTGGGTGCCCCACTGATGCGTGTTATGTGTGCGAGACCATGGGAAAGCCTGTGACCATCTGGGCCACATGTTTTCTCAGTAGGTCCCCTCGTGATGCTGTGAATGGAGCTTCTCGCAGAGCCTTGGTGCTGGAGGGCGGCGGAGAGCCCTGACGGGGACCCTCCTCCCAGGAGTCACTTTGGGCCTGGCCCAAGGTCACCCTGCAAGCTAGCAGCAGAGCTGGGACTAGAACCCACCACACCGGGTGCCTTGAGTGAGGACAGAGACAGGTGCATACCTGATTGGTTCTGGGCCGGTGCAGGGGCCTCTTGCACCTTCAAGGCAAGGCCAAAGGAGCCTCGGTATGAGGAACTGTCCCTCACGACGAAAGTCCCTGGCTCCTCCTTCCTCAGCAGCTCGATTGCTGGAACGGTCCTCGGGTCAGACAGTTATCACCCCACCTGGACACCTCTGTCCTCTAACCCCACAGGGTCTTCCTAGAGCAGCTGTTAGAGTCACCTTTTGTCCCCAGGGAGTCCTTTCTATTGTCTGATCATCATGGCTGCTGCAGTCCCCGTGTCCTCAGGTCATGAGGTCTGCAGGACACTGGCCTTCCCTGGACCTGCCATTTGCCATCCCCTCCTCTGCCCAGGGCCCCGACTTCAGGATCCAGACCTGATTCCAAGTCATTCATCCCCTGAAACAGTGTCTTCTTTTACCTTGCTCTCGGGTGATGCTTGGCTTAAACCAGTATTTAGAGGTGTCCATCACAAATTTCATGGTGGGCTGCATGTCCCTGGCGGGACCTGGAGACAGACAGAGAAGAGGAACCCTGCAGGCTGGACGGGGTGGAGCTGAGAGACCCTCCCCCAGCCCCTGCTCAGTGGTCCGACTCAACCCGCCCTCTCCTACCCCCAGCCCCCTGTATCTCCAACTGCTCAAAGAGGCAAAATCTAACAAGAATTTCAGGGCTTGGCGCATCTAGGATTTAGTAGTCTTCCCTCGCATCTAGGATTTAGTAGTCTTCCCTCGTATCCTTGGTAATGAATAAGAAAACAAATAGATAAAAATCTCGGTTTAATGAGAAACAGATTCTCAAATCTAGCGTTGCCTGCTGGGGACTGAAGGAAGGGTTCTGAGATGCATCATTTGTTTAATTTCACACTCTCCTCCCTCTTAATAAGCCTACAAGTTCCCTAGGGATATATTCCGTTTGGGAAAGAAAATGAAAGGAAAGGAACACAGCAGATCTGGGCGGACGAGCGTGTGCTCAGAGGTCTGGAGAGGGGATTCCTGACTCTGATTTGGGACAACTGTTTCTCTACTAAAGCCCAGAGGAGACTGAGTGAACCCAAAAAACCTCTGAGGGTCTTTCATGCTACAATAGCCTATGAAGTTACAATGAATTTTTTGTGAGACTATTTTGGCAGAATCTGATAAGATCCCTGGGCGTCACCAATCCAGGATGGGACTATCACCAAAATGCTCATTTTCTGGGTTCCTAAGGCAGAGAACAGCGTTTCTTAATTCCAGTATCTTGAAAAGATGTGTTGTGGCCAGGTGAGAGTAACTAAAAAAAGCTGTAGTAAAATCTGCAAATGAGCCCAGCTGGTGTGGCTCAGTGGTTGAGCGTCAATCCATGCACCAAGGGGTCACCGTTCCAATTCTCGGTCAGGGCACATGCCCAGGTCGTGGTTCAAATCCCCAGTGGGGGGGCACGCAGGAGGCAGCCAGTTGATATTCTCTCTCATCAATGTTTCTATCTTTCTCTCTAAAAATAAAAAAAAATAAAAAATTTTTTTTTAAATCTGCAAATGGCCCTGGCCAGTTTGGCTCAGCGGTTAGAGCATCAGCCTGCGGTCCAGAGAGACCCAGGTTTGGTTCCCGCTAGGGGCACGTACCTCGGTTGCAGTTTGTCCCCGGCCCTGGTTGGTCGAGTGGGTGGCAGCCACTCGATGTGTCCCTTTCACGTCGATGTTTCTCTCTCTCTCTCTCTCTCTCTCTCTCTCTCTCTCTCTCTCTCGCTTCCTCTCCCTCCCTCCCACTATCTGAACAAAAAAATGGAAAAATGTCCTCGGGTGAGGATGAAAAAAAAAAATCAGCAAATGATTTGTCCTAGGAAGACGGTCAGAGCAGATTCAAAGGCACACGTGTCATTTCTCTGCTTGCATTGACATGGCTTTGTGAGTGGGACTGAGCAGCCCACGAGCCAGCACTTCACCCCCTACCCCAGGAAGCACCTTGCTCCCCACTCTGTGGCCGAGGGAGAGCCGAGGCCAGCCCTGGGAAGGAGATGGCTGAGTGAGGAGGGACAGCGAGCCGGGGGCTTGGCAGGGGCTCTGCTGGTGGGAGAGGAGCACCCTGGGTGCTAAGGCTTAGCCTCTGCGTCTGCTGCTTTGGGTTCTGGTCGGCTTTGTTCTTTTGGACGCCTGCAGTCATAGACTCCGGAAGGAGGGTGTTTGCTGGTTTGTGGTTTTAGGTCTGAACTGGAGTGCATTGTCTCCGTTACCCTGTCCTGCCCTCCTCTGCTCGTCATCCACCGTCAGAGTTACGACTGACTGCCTCTCCCTCTCTCACGAGTTAGTCACCACGCCTGCTGCTTCCATATCCGGAGGGTCTCCTGGCTCTGTCCCCTCTCCTCCACCCCTGCCCCAGCCCCACCCTGGTTCCGGCTCTGTTTCAGCTTGTCGGGACCACTTCATGATAAAAACCCAAACAGAATCAAATAGAAACTGCTGTCCCTCCCCAGACCGGGCCCTGTCATTCATCTGCCAGAGTGATCTACTGACGTGCACCTCTGACCCCATCACTCTCCTGCTCCAGACCCTCTGATGGTCTCCCATTGCCTAAAGGGTAAAATCTACTCTTCTGCTTGGTGTTCAAGGCCTTTTACAATCTGGCCCCACACGCAACATCCCAGTCATTCCTAAACATGCTGCGTGCTCCACACCTGCGTGACTGCGAACTCGGTTCTCTCTGGTGGGGAGGCCCTTCCTCTTCCGCTCTGGCCATGGACTTGTGATCTTCCCAGATCTTCTGAGGAGCCTTCCCAGTTCTCCAGGCTGAAGGGATCCTCCCCTGGTGGCCCCCTGAACTTAGAATATTTCTTTACCCCTGTGTTTATCCTCTATAGTTATCCCTGGTTTTGGCCTCTCTTTCTAGACCATGTTAACCTCTCTGTCCCCACCACCTGACAGTGCTCGGCACACAGTAGGTACTCAATCAATATATTGACTGGCTGTTGCAGAAACCACTGCTGCTTTGTCTGTTCCCCTGGCTGAACCTTGCAGTGTTTGAGGTATCAGCTTGCAACGTACCCTCTGGGGAGGCGGTGGGAGAGGCATCCGACGGGGTCTGGCTGTGGCTCCTGGTGGCTGGACTAGGGTTGCTGGCAGAGGCAGCCCCAGGTCGGGCCAAGTCCTGGTGTCCTGGGGTCCGTTGAGGTGGCGGACACCCTGGTTCTGGGCAGCCGTTGATCAGCACGATGGGTATGTCCACCATGGAGTTGGCGATGGAGGCGGGGCAGCTGCTGGGATGCTCCTTGGCCAGTGGTGGGGAACAGGTTGCTCTGGGCTGGGCCATGCTTGGGGTGGTATTTCTGGGGACCTGGTTGTCACTGGCTCTCGTACACAGGGACACTGGGCTGAGGCTGTGGAGGCTGGAGGAAGAGCTGGCTGGGCTTTCCAAGGACCTAGAAGATGACTGTTGGCTGGAGATGCTGGAGTGGAGAAGGGACTGGCTGCTGCAAGGGCAGAGAGCACCAGACAGGCAGAGCGTTAGGGTGTGGAGGTGGACACTCAGGGGCCAGAGCCAGGCTCTGCCATTTAGTGATCTGGGTGCTATGGCTTTGGTCAAATACAATCGTAGGATCCACTCCCTGTAGCCCAGAGCAAATGGCATGCCTACCTGATCCCTAAAAGGTGTGAAGAACAGAGCAATGTCCCTGCACTGTCCCTACTTGAATTGGTCAATTAAAGAAGCCAAATGGGCTGACCCTCCACAGGTCACGTGGGCTCAGGCTGCCCAGATTCCCTCTGCTTTCTCAGCAAGGCAGGTCTGATGGGGTCGTCACACCAGCCTCTCCATCATCCCATCGCCCCCAGGAGCCCTGCACACAGGCGGGACCTGGGCTGGACCATGTCTGTGCGAATGCAGAGGGAATCCCCCAGCTGGAGGAGGAGGAGGCCGGCTCTGCCCCCTGCCCAGCCTCTCCCCGAGCTCAGAGGCCCACGTCAGTGGGCATGGCTGCGGTAGCCCAGCCTCCTTGCCAGGGGCTGCCTTGGCACAGTGGTTTGGAATTGGTGTGGGGCACAGAGGTCCTGTGGTTTGGTCTTCCTGGGCAGCAGTCCTGCAGAGACGTGGGCTGGGTGAGCATAAGTCTGTCAGGCAGGTTTTGCCAGCAATGGAGGAAGGAGGCTCTTCTCTCATAATTGGCTCATCCTAGGCCCCCCCAAGTCTATTTACATCCCTGCTTTATGAGGTTAAAAACACACCCTTTCCTCGAGAGGGGTTGTATGAGGGCTGGAAAGGATACAAGTGGGCCTCGTGAGCATGGCAGCTCTTTTCCCAAGAGGTAGGTATCAGTCGAGATTTTTGTATATTGAATTATATTCCAAATGGAAGGCTTGAGATCCAAATGGCTGTGATGGCATAAAAGAGAACATCCACTTTCTTATTTTTAGTGCATGCCCAGATTTTGCTCAGGCAGAGCAGATTTTGCTCACATTCTATGATTTCAGGGTGTGTGTGTGTGTGTGTGTGTGTGTGTGTGTGGTGGAGGCAACGTCAGAAGCTATAGTGGGAGTGGCCTACCTTCCAAACATGTAGCTGACATCAGTTGCTGGGCTGGCTGACAGCATGAAGACCCTGCTGCCTCGCTGTGTGGCTGGGCCTCCCTGCCCCTTCTCCAAGCCTGGAGAAGCCCCCAGTGGGGAACCAAAGCCATTGGAGCCTGAGGCCCTGCTCCTCATGCAAGGGATGGAGATGCTGGGAGAGGGTGGGGGTTGAGAGGACGGAGACCCAGATGGGGGAGGAGGGCGCTGATGCCCAATGCCTTGGCTCCCCGAGAAGATGAGGCTTTCACTGCTGCTTCGAGTCTCTCGGGGGATGTCTCTGGAAAGGAGGAGGCCGCCACTGCGTGGGGAGCCGAAAGGTGGGGTGACAGATGAGCTGGAGGAGCGCTGGGGGCCATCGTGGCCCCTTGATCTGGTGGAGGTCACCTCGATGTACTTTATATCTTTGGGGAGAGAAGCAGAGCATTGGTGAAACCTGGGAGCCTGGACTCCAGGACAGGAATTCTGGAAGGGTTCTGAAGACCATCTGGCCCCCCTCTTTTATAAAGACCAGCAAACTGAGGCTCAGAGAGGAGAAACTCATTGGAATCAGAATTACCATCCAGCTCCACCTCCAGCGGCCCAGTGCCAAAGTCACCCTCTTTGTGACATTTCCCCTGGGTGGGGAGATGCAGTAGAAGGAACACAGGCTGGAGTCGGACAGACCTGGCTTTCTGACTGGGCTCTGCACCTACTGTCTGAGAGAGCTTGGCCAGGTGACTTCGTCACGCAGAGGCTGTGTCCACACCTGGAAAAAGGAACGACTGAACCAAGCCTCTTGATGTCAAAGTGAAGATGAAATGAGATGAATATAGGGGGCCCAGCACCACACCTGGCACGTAGTAATCCCTTTAAAACTGGCACATGGTAACCCCTTTGCATGCCCTACTCTCTAGGCGGAAATGACTGCTTAACAATGTGCCAGTCACATCTTCTGATGCCTCTGTCACTCAGGGTGTGTGGGAACTGTTTCTATGTCTGTACCCACGGTGAAGGTGTGGTTGCACCCTAGAATCACCCACTGGGCATTTAGAAGTCCTAATGCCCAGGCTCCGCCCTGTGCCAATGGGACCAGCATCTCTGGGGTGGGCTCAGGCTGTTTGTTTAGTTTCCCAGGTGATTCCGCCGTGCATCAGGCCTCATCACTGAGGTCCTGGCCAGCAGCACTGCTACACCTGGGAGCTGATGCGCAGAATCTCAGGCTCCACCCCAGGCCTATTGGATAAGAATCTGCAGTTTTAGCAACAACCTGGGATCTGGGTCCTCTGCGTTAGAGGAGGCATTGCCCAGGGCAGGGCTTGCTGCGTTACTGAGCGTGAGCCCCACAGGCGGGCCATGCTGGTAGCTCGCGCACAGTGATTGGTCATCAGACTTGGCCCAGGCTCAGACTCACTGCAAAGCTCTTTCTATTCCCCAGTGGGGGCACCCAGGACTCTGGTCCCCCAACTGTGTTCCTCCCTGGAGTGGGGTGCTCTATTATTCTCCCCATGGTGAGGATGGCCATCTCCCTTCCTGGCCTGGGGGAGCTGACTTCGGTGCTGTTCCAGCAAAGGTGGTGGAAAGTGAGGGTTACCCAGCTGTGAGTCCTGCCTCTGCCTTCCCAGGATGGAAACTGGGGCAGAATCAGCGGGAAACTGCACCCTCAGCTCCTATCTGCCAGCCTCCCACCTGCGTGGGCTCTGGACATGCGCCCCGCCTGCTGTGACTGAGGAGGCCCTGCCTGCCCCAGCCTGCTCCGGGGTAGGGCTTCTGGCTCTGCTCACCGTTGCTGCCTCTGTCTGAGCCTGCTTGGGCCAGGGTTGGGGTGCAGGATTGCATCAGATGAGGGGGGCTGGCGGGCTGACCTGGGCTTGCTGCTCCAGGGGTGGAGGCCCAGGCCTGGCTTTGTCATCAGATGAACCTGGGTGAGTCCTGGCTTTGCCACTCTCCTGCCAAGAGGCATCGAGTAACATTCCTAACCACTCTGAACCCCAGTTTCCTCGTCTGCAAAGTGGGGATCTAAAACCAATCTCCCAGGATTGTGGTGAGGATAAAATACACGGATGAATGGAGCCTGGAGTCTGGCCCGTGGTGGGCTTCTGGGAGCATCTTCTCCCTGCCTGCTTTTGTGTTAGCCAGAGGGCTGATGCTCTGTGGCTAAGGTGCGGGTCCCACTGTTGAGGGCAAGAGGAGAATACTGGGCACAATGTACTGTGGACTCTGAGGCCTTGTAATGGGGTGGATCCTTCGGGAAGGGCGCAAACACAACTTATATTTTTATGACTTTATGGTGTTTACACCCATAATCCTTTCAAGCTTCACAACAGCCCTTATGCCCCATGCCAGCAGACGTTGCTTTTATGGAGGAGGAAACTGAGGCGCAGGGAAGTGTGGGAGTGGAGCGGACGCCGAGTGCACACGGCTCACTGAAAGCTGGTGTTTACTCAGTGCCGCGTGCCAGCACTGTTACAAAGCGTTCATTCAGCCGCCACCGTAACTCTGCTGAAGTAGGAAACGTTATTAATTCCATACAGCGGATGAGAAATCAAGGCTCAGAAAGGTTAAGTGAGTTATCCAAGGCCACACAGCTTTGGCACAGTAGAGGAACCCCAACTCCTGTGCTCTGCTTGGGGGCCTCTTCCTGAAGGAGAGGTCCCTTAGGAACAAGGCCTTGCCCCGTGAGAAGGTGCTTTACTGCTTTGGGGAGGGTCTGTTGGTCTGGGGAAGCTCTGGATGCTTCCTTACCGGGCCACCCACACACTTGCCCAAGGCCTTGCTTGGGGGTGGCGCAAGCAGGGGGTAGAGTGCGACTGTGAGTCACCTCCTGTTGCCCTGAGGTAGGTGTGGCTGGGGAGGTGGAGGCCCCACCCCAGCACCTGGTGCAGTTTTCAGGCCCATGGGGCAAGTCTGAGCCCAGCTCAGTGGATGCAGGCACCGGCGCCAGGCCAGGGGGGTGGGTGGGGTCACGTGGGTGGGGGGAGGAGAGACAGTTAGGCACTTCTCACTTGGGATTGGCAAACAACCTCACCTGGCAGAAACTGCTGGAAAATGAAATGGGGGGGGGGCCTGTTCCAAAGATGGGGCGGGGTGGCAGAGAGGAAGAAAGGAGTCACATTCCCTGTGGGATGCCCCTCCGCGGGGGTAAGCCTGAAGGGAGGTAAGCAAGGGGCAGGGGCAGGGAAGCTGGGGGGAGGTTTGCAGCATTGGGGACGTAGGGCCCCCAGCTGCCTCCACACAGGTTTATTCTGTGAAGCCCTGGGGGGTGGGACACTGGCCCCAAGGAGGACAGAAAGGCAAGGACAGGGGCATCGCAGCCCAGAAGCCTGACCCGTGCCCCTCGCCAGCCTGTGCCCCTGGGCCGCCACTCCCCTCAGCGTTCTCACCTGCAGAACGGGGCTGTCACTCTCCTTCACAGGGTGGATGCTGGGATCACGCCTCACCAAACCTTTCTACGTACACGGGGTGGGCAAAAGTAGGTTTACAGTTGTTCATATGGAAAATAATACAATAATAATAACACGAGCAAAAACTGTGTTTCTCCTACTCACAGCTGTAAACCTACATTGGCCTGAATTTAGGGGCGGGATCAACATAGGGTCGCCAATGTTTAATTTTGCCAAATTAGGAAAGAGAAACTGAACACCTGCTAGCACCACAATGAGAGAATGTCTTCCCTTCAACACCCCGTGAGTCGGAGGATGGGAGTGCAAAGGAAGGGGACTCCTCTCCACGGAATGCACGTGGCCGCGTGAAAACTCATCAGCTGCCCAGAAGCAGTGCCGCGGCCCTGGGCCAGGGAGGGCTCGCTTTGTCACCACTGCAGGTCTGAGGGGAGGACTGGGGAGGTCAAGCTGCATGAGAAAAGCGCAGCTCAGCACAGTGATCGCAGAAGAACTTTCTAGTGGGAAGCTGACAGGCTGGGCTGAATCAGGAGGTAGTGAGCTCCCAGACATCGCAGGTATCCAAGCACAGGTTGGAGGAGAGGATTTTAAAAACATTCCATCAGAAGGGGCTGGGACGGAGCCAGGCAACTTCTTGAGGACTCTCTGACCACTGCTGCCTTCCTAGCACCTGAATCAGGTGGATACCTCCTCATAATGGCAGGTCGTGCCCAGGCCATCTGAGAAGACAGACTACTGCCCATCAGCCCCTTGGAGGAAGGGCCCAGTTGTCCACATCCCCACCCCATACATGTGGCCCCTCTCCAGAAACTTGTCTCACTCCCGCTGGCCTTGAGTGTGTGGAACCCCTGCCTTGGGCACAGACATCAAAGCCCAGGGCTTTCTCCTGCCAGTGGTAATGAGGCCAAACCACCTTCCCTGCAGAGGCAGGCCCAGGGCTGGCCCGAGGCAGCAGGAAGGCTCTTGAGGGCTGAAGGCCGTTCCCTGAACAGGCCTGGCAGGCAGAGCTCAGTGGGAGGAGAGAAGGCAGGTCAGGAGCCCCGGCGCCAGAGGACCTGGGTGCTGGGCCCACTTTCACCCCCAGCCTGAACCTGTCCTGGGGCTAGTTCTAAATGCCACCCTAGTGTTTAATGAAGCACCCACCATTTACAATGACTCACAGTGTGCCAGGGTTTGCAATTATTACCCGAGTGTTATTACTTTGAATCCCTGCAATACCCTTTGAGGTAAGAACTGATTTATATTTTACAGATGAGGAATCTGAGACACAAAGACGTGAAGTAAACAGCTTGTGTAAGACTCCAGTGACTAGGCCGGATCGGCTCCTTACTCAAGTCTATCAGCCTCAGTTTTCTCCTCTGTGAAATGAGGATAAAACAGTCATCTCAGGGGGGTGGATTAAAGGTTCTGCTGTCAAATGCTCAGCACAGTGCCTGGATATACAGTGAGTGCTCGAGAAGCAGAAACCCTCACGGATCCTATCTCTAGTCCTCAGCACACCCCTCGCCCCTTGCTGCTTGTTGAAATCCCGGAAGCCTCAGTTTTCCAGCCTGCCCATGGGGCCGCTGCTCCTTGCCCTTCATTTTCAAAGTATACTTAAAACTCTGGGCCCTGGCTAGTTTGACTCAGTGGTTAGAGCGCAGACCAAAGAGTCTTGGGTTCAATTCCTGGTCAAGGGCACATACCTGGGTTGCAAGTTCAATCCCCAACCCTGGTTGGGGTCATGTGGGATACAACCAATCGATGTATCTCTCTCTCTCTCCCTCCATCCCTCCCTCTCTTCCACTCTATTAAAAAAAAAAATCAATGGAAAAATATCCTCAGATGAGGATTAAAAACAAAACAAAACAAACTAATCTTTTTTTTTTTTTTTATCTTCACTCAAGGACATTTTTGTTTTGCATTTATCTTCAGATAGAGCGGGAAAAGAGAGAAGGAAGAAGAGAGGGAGAAACATCGATGTGAAAGAGACACATTGAGTGGTTGCCACCCACACGACCACAAACAGGGCTGGGGACAAATCGCAACCAAGGCACGTGCCCTTAGCAGGAACTGAACCCGGGACTCCCTTGTCCATGGGCCGACGCTCTAACCGCTGAGCCAAACCGGACAGGGGCAAAACAAACTAATCTTTAAAAGAAAACAAAACCCTCTTTGTTTGGGAAACAAGTCCGATGTAGGGATTTCTAGATTCCCTGGGCTTTGGTGGTGTACTGGAGGCTTGTGCCAGCGTAGGACAGATGATAGTTAAATTTTCAGGACTTTGCCCAGCTGGTTGCTAAACTCAGCCATTATTAAAAATTAAAGTACATAAAATTACAATGAAAAAACTTATATTGAAAACATCTTACTATCATACATACTCCTGAGGTGTTTACATCTGTTGAATCGGTCGGTGTAAATACCATACGATGGCCTGCTGCGGCGTGTCTCTTTCTAACGCCACATCCAGGGCCACGGTGGGAGAATTTGCACCGTGGAAACTGGGAAACGCTTCGTATCAGGGCTCTGCCCCACCGGGGAGCCAGCTGTTGGACATTTACTAGCAACTACTGCTTCAACACAGCAGGGTTACCACCCCACAGGGACGGACATCTGTGTCTCTCCAACTCCATTACTTCCAGCTTGGGCCTCCCCAGGGTAATACTCCCCTAAACAGGGACAGGGGTTCAGATGGAAATCTTACAAAAATTTTAAGGGGCCTGAGTTAGGAGCTAAGGAGAGAGACACCACAGAATAGCAAGGTTTAGGGACCCCACATTTATCAAGCTCTTGTTTATAAGGCATGGAGGTATAGAAAATGTATATATATATATATATATTAGCTTATTTAAGTTCTCTGAAGAATCACACAAAACAGGTATCCATTACTTCCCAAACTCAGGAGCCAGATAGACGTGGATAGTGAGGAAAACTTGTATTTATCCCTTTTATATGGCAGAGAAAGCAGAGAAGTTAGGTTGTTTAAGGCTGCATGTCACCTCCCCACAGGACATCGCCTCTGATTCTGTAGACAAGCCCTTCTTCATGAGGTCTGGCCCCAAGCCCCCTCCTGCCCTGTGCCCCCGGTCCTTACCCAAGGCGTCAGGCTCGTCTTTCTTTTTCCTCGAGGTAGCGCTCTGGGTGGGCTCAGCCCACGGGCCGCCAGCCCCTGTGGGGAGCAGCTGGAAGGTGGGATCCAGTTCCAGAATCATCTGGTTGAGGCTCTCCAGTGACAAGTCAATGTAGGAGTCAAGGTCCTCCAGGGCCCCTGAGGTCTGCTCACCAGGGGACCGTAGGAGGCAGCTGGCTTTGGCTCCAGCCTGTGGGGTCTGCTGGAGCCTGTGGGGGGGCTCCTTGCAGGGCATGGGGGCCATCAGGGCCTGGGCTCTCCAGCCTTCTGTGGTGTAGTAAGGACACTGGGGTGGCAGGCTGGGGCTGGGTGCTGGGTGCACAGCCCTCATGGGTTCCTCACAGGGAGCCAAGCAGACTGCGTGGCCTCCTGCCAGCAGGGGGCTGGACATCACCTGCGACATGGTGGGGGCAGTGACCCGGCGGTTTACCTCTGGCTTCCCACCAGCCGCACTTATATCCCAGAGGTGTCACTTGCCAACCAGGAGCTCCCAGGACCTGAAAGAGGCCAAGGGTAGCAGCTGAGTAACCTTTGTAGATGAAGCCCCTGCCTCCTCCCCCTAAAAACAAAGACATATTTATTCATTCATTTAAAAGCATGGATGCTGGAGCCAGACGGCCTAGGTTCATCCTGGCTCCACTTACTGGCCGTGTAACAGGGGCCGGTTAATTAACTGCTCTGTGCCTTAGTTTCCTTATCTATAAAATGAGTTAATATTTGTAACATGCTTAGAATAGTGCCTGGCACATACTAAGAATTATGCAAGTGATTGCAAAATAAAACCACTTCATTAGAAATTTATTAAATATCTGCTATGTCCCAGCCTTATTTATTAAATAAATACTAGCTAATGTTTACTGAGTAATTACCGTGTGCATAGGCACTTGTGTTTACACACAAAGTCTTTTAAAATCCCCATGACAACCCTGTGGGGTAATACTATAATTATATCACATCACAGTGTGAGAATGGAGACAGAGAGGTAAGTGACTTGCCCAAGGGTGAGTGGGCAACAATGTCAGAGCAGGACTGGACCCCAGGTTGCGTGATGTCAGAGCCCCTACATGTAGCGGCCACTTCACGTGTGTCAGTGTGGGAACCAGACGAGCAACAGGTGAGCAATCCTAAACAGTGTCACTAGGGAGGAGGAAGCAGGGGGACTCTGCAGGCACTGGTGGGGAGGTCAGGGAGGACTTCCTGGAGGAAGAAACATGTAAAGGGAGATAAGAAGGAAAAGCAGGAGCTTGCTGGCCAGGCAGGTGGGGGTGAGGAGGCAGGTGTGTTCAGAGTCCTGACACACAGGGAGGCATTACTGAGCACCCGGGAAGCAGGGAGCACCTAGGATAGATGGAGGGAAGAGGGGTAGGGGAGGCAGGCTGGCCAGGCCCTGCAGACCTTGCATGCTGGGCTCAGTAGTGCTGTCTCAACCCTGAGGGCAAGGGGGAGCTACAGGACAGTTTTGAGCTGGGGAGTGACATCATCAGATGGTATGCACTCCCTGGGGGCTCATTCAGGAAAGAGATGTCTCAATTTCCCCTACTTTGGAAAGTTCTTCCTGTTGTCTAACCTTAACGTCACGTTTGTGCTTTCTTAAAGGTGGGGCTGGGTAGGAAATGAGAGGTTCTAGGCTTGAGGCTGCCAAGAAAACTGTAAGGAGCTGGGACACGCTGGTCATACTATCACTGCGTGCCTGAGCCTCACTGCCTGTCCCCCAACACTCTCCAACTCTGCTTCTCCCTTTCCCAAGGTGCCTACATCACCTCCTGCTCTGGAGTCAGATCCCCAATGCTGGAAAAGGTGTGGGGACCAGCCGGGGAAAACGAGATGAACGTGGACTCTGGAGCCCGAGAATTCGGCTTCGATGCCCAGCTCAAACTGTTCCTTAGGGTGCAGCCTGACCCTTAGTTTCCTCATCTGTGAGATGGGCATGAGAATTCCTGCCCTGCACCCTTCCAGAGAGCCACGTGGCACCCCGGAGGAGCTGCTTGTGAAAGCAGTCTGACAACTCGAAATACTACTTAGAAATAAGGGCTTGTCTAGAGTGTAACAGCTTTATAAGAGTGAATAATAATAGCTGCCATTTATCGGGCATTCACCATGTGCCCGGAGCTGGTCTACGTGCGTTACATATGGTAACTCTCACCTCCTAATCCTAGGAAGTGCTGCACCCCGGTTCCCGCCCATTTCACAGATGATCATACTGAGACTCAGAGAGGTGAAGAAATCTGCATGGGCCGCACACCCAGAAAAGTGATTTAGCCAGAATTTAAACTCAGACCCTAGGATGTTGGACTCTGAACTCTTTGGACCACATTGAGATCAAATGCAAAGGGACGCCTGAGGTCCAGAGAGGGGATGTGATTTGCCCAAGTCACACAGTCAGTTAATGAGAAAAGCCAGGCCCCTCTCCTCCTCCACAGCCCTGTGGGCCTCTGCCAGACTTGTCCTTGGCCGGGTCCTGGAGTGGGTGGCACATCCCAGGCTCCTGAAGCCTGTCTATAAATGGCAGTGGAAGGGACTCGGCCTCTGAGCTCCTTCCTGGGGGCAGCTGAGGACACAGAGCCGCGGCTCTTCCCTCACGTGCTCCGAGAGGCCGGGTTTCCTGGGCAGGATCTCGGGGACCCTGCAGGGTTTCTATCTGGGCCCTGAAGAGGAAGCTGGGCTTATTGACCTGGTGGAGTACCGGAAGCCTGGGTCTCCGCCAGGGTAGAAACTGGGACGCCTGCCTGTTGATTTGAAAACTGTTTCTTGTCACCCTGGGCAACTGTCCTTTCCTCTCTGGGCTTCACTTGTCCCATCTGTGTAATAAGGATATTATAACAACAGACACGGACTTTAAGCACACGCTCATTTCATTTTCTCAATGGCTCTGTGAGCAGGGTACTCTCACGGTGGGGTTAGGGAGGTTAAGGGGTTTGCCCAGGTTAGACAAGCCACAGAACCCGGTGGTAGGACTGGGACTTGAACCTGCGTGGTCGAGGCTCCGCCACCCGATGCCTCTGCTTCATGGGTTTAGGACCCCTTCCTCCTCTTCCCCTCCCGGGATTCTGGAACCCGTGGGACAGACCCCGAATCCCCCTGGACCTCCCAGAGCAGAGGCTGGGCTCACTCCTTTATTCCTGGACACCCTGCTCCCACCCCTGGCCCAGTGCACTTTGCTAGCTCTTTCCTGCTCTCAGGGGACGGGAGGGTCCCTGGGGCTCAGGACTGTATGAGTGAGTGAGTGTGTGTGTGTGTGTGTGTGTGCATGTGTGTGTGTGTAAGGGGTGGGATGGAGTGTACAGTGGGCAAGGAGGGCTCCAGCCAGCTCAGCCCTATGTGTAGGTCCCTCCCACCCACTTCCCCTTCAGATGGGGACTCAGGTCTCCGTCTTTGTTCTCAAGGGCTCTGGAGGCGGAGGACCCTGCTGCCTTGGCGCATCTCTTCTGCCTCACTGCCAGCGCTTCTCAGTCCTATAAGCCCAGGTCAGCGAAGGGAGAGGGTGGAAGGGCGTGAAGCCTGAGTCTTTCCAAAGTCCCTTGCCCACCCCCAACTCAACCCTCATCCTGGAAGAGGCTTCTGACTGTCCATCCCCTCCACCAGATGCAGGGACAGCAGGGGCCTGCAGGACCAGTGAAGGCCATGGTCCTCCACCTCTGGGTTCCTAGCAGCGGGGGGCCCAGCCGGGGCGCAGGGCTGGGCGGGAGGCAGGAGGTCTGGTTCTGTGCCCATTCCCTTCCCTAGTCTCAGTGACCCTGGGCAAACCTCTTCCCCTCCCTGCACCGGTTCTGTCATCTGTACACTGAAGGGTACAGATTTACCCACTCAAAGTGCGAAGCTGGGTTCTGTGGCCCCGAGACCCTCTCTCTCTGCACTGCTTCTTCCCCACTTCTCTGACCTGCGCTCTGAGCCTGGAGCCCCAGAAGTGGAGAAGCAGAAAACAAAGGGTTAACGGAGTCAGTGCTGGGAAGGGGCTGAGGCTCCCTCTCTTCTCCTTAAAGAATAAAGGCGCTTACCTGCGTCCAGGGCAGACAGGCAGCTGAGTTCACTCCTGGGATCAGGGCAGCTCAAAAACCAGGTGAGGAGTCAGGGGCGGTGCAGCTCTCTTCAGATTTAAGAGCACCCACTGTCCTGCCCTCCCTCCTCCCGCGGGGCCCTACACGTGGCCAGCAGCCTGCAGGCCCCACCCCTCCCGTGTCTGGAGGCTCAGGTGGAGTTGGCAGGGGCATGGGCAGGAGGAAGGGCAGCCCCGGGAGGCGGCCTGGGTGTGTGAGGGGCTCCCGCTCCCCGCCCTCGCGCCCCTGCCTTGCCCCTACGTGCACCCGTGCTCAGGGGAGCCCCGCTTGGTTGGGCAGGGACTTGTTAAGACCAAGGTGTGCTGGCTGTGGGCATTCCTCTCACGGTGTGCCAGCCAGGGGAGGGACCTGGGTTGGCAGAGCTTGCTGAGTGAGGTCCTTGACCTCGGGAAAGCAAGAAACCCTTCCCACAGCCCCTCCCGTGTTGTCTGGGCGGGTCACCCTGTGGCACAGGGTAGGGGCTTCTCGGGATTTCCGAGATTACCACGGGGCACAGGTCTTGTCTTTTTCTTCTTAGGCTGGGAATGGGGCTTTTAACTCAGCGGGCTGTAGCCCTGCCTCCCTTCATTCACTCATTCATTCACTCACGGTTATGTCTGGTCTGGCCCCCGGGTGAAAGTCCACGGGAAAGTGAGGGCAGGAAGTCCAGAAGTCCAGGCATTCCCCCTCCCTGGCTCCAACTCCCCCTCTGTTCTGTGCCAGGCTCCCGGAGTGCTGTGAGGGGCGTCCCACTGGGCGGGCTGGCCCGGAGTGAGGGAGCTGGCAGTTTCTGCTCAGGGACTCGCACTGAGCCCAGCAGGGGCTGATTTCAGGGGCGGGTGGGCGGCCAGTGCCCGGCGTTTGCCCAGTGGAAGGACTTCTGGCCTTCAAGTTTTTGATGCCCTGTGGCTTCTCGGAGGCATGATGAAGCAGTCACGGGAGGCCAGTAGGCAAAGCTGTGCAAAGTTGTGAAAAGGTGCTCCTTCCTGATGGTGGCATTAGAAGGTGGTTCTGGGTGTCCACGCAGCCCAGATGGCACGTGGCTTGGTGAGCAGCTGTGTCTTTGAATGAAGACAATGGTGTCCCTCTCTTGGGGTGGGTGCAGGTGCCAGCTAAGGGTGCTCTGCACATAGCGAGGACTGAAGGGACAGCTGGTGAGTGTCTTGGGTGGAAGGGGCAGGGACAGGGAGGCAAAGTGTGGGGCCAGGAAGGTGGTGGTTTCAGCGTTAGCCCTGGCTGCCTCCCTGGGGGTGGCACCCAGAATGATCTTGGCAGCAATTCTTTAGGGTGGCGGGGGAGGGGTGGGAGTTGGTGGTCCCCGGGCTTATGACCCTGTGCCTGAGGGTTACAGTATGTCCTGGCAGGTTTAGGTTTTGTGGCTCACATTTGGCCACTTCTTTCACCTTAAGCTGGTTCCAGGAACATCGATTCCAGCCTCAGAACCTCACAGAGCTTGCCTACCCCCTCCCCGCCCCCCCCCCCCCGCCTTTCTCCCCACCCCCTTCTACTCCCCCTTCCCCCTTCCCCCTGACATGGTCAGCCTCCCCAAGGGGTGACGCAGCATTTCTTCGGGTGTCATTGATATGATCGTATGATGTTTCTTCTTTACATGAATTGATTTCTAACGTTGAACCAGCCTTGGGTACCTGAGATAAATTCCACGTGGTGGTGGCGTATCATTTTTTTATACATTGTTGGACTCAATCTGCTAATATTTTGTTGAGATATTTTGCATCTATGCTTCTGAGAGGTACTGGTCAGTAGTTTTCTTGTAATGTCCTTGGTGTGGGTTTCGGGTCATGCTGGCCTCATGGGATGAGTTAGAGGGACCTCTGCTTCTGCGCCGAAGGAGGCGGTGGAGCGCGGGGCCCCCCGTGAGTATTCGGTGGAGCTCACCAGTGAACCTATCTGGGCTTGGTGCTTCCTGCTTTGGAAAGTTGATATCCTCAAAATTGATTTTGCTTGTTTTTTTTTTTTTTCACTTTTTAAAAAAATTTCTTTTCCTTTATTGATTTTTAGAGAGAGAGGAAGGGAAAGGGAGAAAGAGATCGATGAGAGAGAACATTGATTGGCCGCCTCCTGCAGGCCCCCCACTGGGGATCGGGCCCACAACCTGGGCACGTGCCCTGACCAGGAATCAAACCGGCGACCTCTTGGTCCATGGGTCGATGCTCAACCACTGAGCCACAGCGGCTGGGCATTTTTTTCACATTTTGAAATGCGTTTTATGAAGTTCGTCAGGCCGCTGGAATAAGTGACCACTACACCTGGTGGCTTCAAACGACAGTTATTCTCTCACAGTCTGGAGGCTGGAGCCTGACACTGGATTGTAGGGAAGAAGCTGCCCCTTGTCTCTCCCACCTCCTCCCGGCGGCCCTGGCTGCCGGGGCTTGTGACCGCGTCACTCCTGTCTCTGCCTCCTCTTTGCTCTGCCTTCTCTTCTGTCACCTCCTCTCGATTCTTTCTTTTAAGGACCCTTGTGATGGCGTGTAGGACCCACCTGGATAATCCAGAGTAATCTCATCTTGAACTCCTTAACTTAGTTATATCTGCAATGATCCTTTTCCCTAATCAGGTAAAAGTTATAGGGGCCAGGAGTTGATATTTTTGGGTGGTCATTATTCAACCTACTGCATGGAGCTGCCAGAAAACTTAGAATTCCGTATGTGGCTTGCATTCCGTTTCTTTGGACAGCTTGGCCCGCCTGAGGAGGCCAGAGAGAGTATCTCAGGTTCATGAAGGACATTTGAAGTGGAGGCGTGGTGTCCAGCATGGGGACGAGCGGAGAGGCGAGAAAGAGCCTGGAGTGTTCCGGGGACCCTTGGAGAGGTCTCTGTAGCTGGAACTGAGTGCTGGAAGAAGAATTTGCAAAGGCAAAGTATGTGTGGCTTTGCCTCCCCGTCTTCCCCAGTGAGCGTTCCGACTCGTGTTTCTCACCCTCCCTTGCCGTGAGAGCTCGGCAGCAGCAGCTTCTGTCGCCGAAGGGCCTGGGAGGTGGCCTGCTGCTGCTGGTCTGCGCAGTTAGGGGGACACTGGGCTTTTTGGCAGCTGCCTTCCAGCATCTAGTGTCCAGCTTTGTGGGTGTGGAGAAGTGGTTGCTGAAATGACTTGCTGACCCTCGAATTAGTGAAGTGATGGCTCTTGAAGGCAACAGACCCTGGGTGGCTTCTGGTGGCTTCTCTCCTTGGTGATGCCAGAGGGGCTGTTCCAAGGTGGGTCCTGTGTGCTCTGAGACATTCCAGTAGGTGCAGACTGTTCTAACCCTTCCACTGATTTTGTAAGTACTGAATTACCTGCGTGGAATTCCTTTCTGCTTAAAATAGCTGGTGTGGTTTCTGTTTCCTGCCGCTGACTGATGCCGGTGGGCTGGGCCAGGGGGAGGCGACCTGCGGGTTGGCCTAAGAGCCTGGCTTTCCTGTTGTGAGCAATGGAGATACAGAGGAAGCTTAAAGACATTTAAAAATATATATTATTTGGCCCTGGCCGGTTTGGCTCAGCGGTTACAGCATTGGCCTGCGGTCCGGGGAGACCCAGGTTCAGTTCCCGCTAAGGGCATGTACCTCGGTTGCAGTTTGTCCCCGGCCCTGGTTGGTTGTGCGGGTGGCAGCCACTCGATGTGTTCCTTTCACATCGATGTTTCTCTCTCTCTCTCTCTCTCTCTCTCTCTTCCTCTCTCTCCCTCCCACTCTATCTGAACAAAAAATTGAAAAATGTCCTCGGGTGAGGATTAAAAAAAAATAATAATAATAAAAAAATAAAAATAAAAATATATATTATTTATTTATTAAAAATTTTTTTTTTCAATCACAGCCCGGCCGGTGTGGCTCGGGGTTGAGCCTCGACCCATGCACCAAGAGGTCGCCAGTTCGATTCCCAGTCAAGATACATGCCCAGGTTGTGGGCCAGATCCCCAGTGGGGGGCATGCAGGAGGCGGCCAATATTCTCTCTCATTGATGTTTCTCTCTCTCTCTCTCTCTCTTTCTCCCTTTCTCTCTCTAAAATCAATAAAGAAAAAAAAAATTAAAAAAATTTTTTTTCAATTACAGTTGACATGCAATAATATATTAATTTCAGGTATACAACACAGTGATCAGACATTTATATAACTTACAGAGTGATCACCCCAATACGTTTAGTACCCATTTGACACCATACATAGTTATTACAATATTATTGACTATATTCCCTATGCTGTATGTTGCGTCCCTGCGACTATTTTTATAACTGGCCATTTGCCCGTCTTAATCCCGTCCTCTTAGTCTCCCATCCACCCACCCCTCCCATCTGGCAACCATCAACATGTTCTCTGTATCTGTGAGTTTGTTTCTGTTTTGTTTGTTTATTTTGTTTTTTAGATTCCACTTATAGGTGAGATCAGATGGTTATTTGCCTTTCTCTATCTGCCTGACTTCACTGAGAGTAATACCCTCCAGAGGAAGTTTCCAGGCAGAGCAGGGAGGGAATGACACGAACATATTTGTGCCATAGAAAGATGACCTTGCTTCAGGCAGGTGATGAGCCCCCTGAGAGGGTAGCAGAGGAGCAGACGTCACTGTTTTCTAGGACTCTCTCTCCTTGGGGTGAGGACAGAGGCGAAGGATTGGCGAGGGCCGTTCTTTGCTAGGAGGACCAGAGAACTGACACGGGTGGTTAGCTCCCTGCGCGTTCTAGGCTCCCCTTGTAGCACGTGAGACTGCGATTAATAGCAGGCAGGATTCCCAACAGAGATGATAGAAGTTTGGTAACTAAAAACCAGGTTCTGCATCAAGATGCAGAGAGAGCAGAGCAGGGAAGAGGCTAGACTGCACTCTGGATGCCCACCAGTTTGCTGGGATGCACCAGGAAAGACCCTCTCAAGCCGTCTGGATTCCCTGAGCTGGAGGGAAGCCTTGTTTTCCTTCTCCTGTTGCAGTGGAAGGGGCGAGGAGGAGAGGAGTGAGGTCCTTCTGATTTCAGGGGAGGGGATTCTGGTCTTTATCATGGGGATGCCTTTGGGAGATGGAGCTTGTCTCAGGTCTTGCT